TGATAAAGTAAGTCCCTCAAGCAACTTCAGCAATTCCATGCCTAGAAATCCCTGTACCCGCCAATATTCCTGAAGAAGAGGGAGCAGGGAGGAGAAACAGTGGACTTATAGGTATAAAAACTCCACTGTGGGCCGGTGCAGTGGCTCACTAGGCTAATCCTCCGCCTTGCGGCACCAGCACACCGGGTTCTAGTCCCGGTTGGGGTGCCAGAGTCTGTCCCGGTTGCCCCTCTTCCAGGCCAGCTCTCTGCTGTGGTCAGGGAGTTGCAGTGGAGGATGGCCCAAGTACTTGGGCCCTGCACCCCATGGAAGACCAGGATAAGCACCTGGCTCCTGCCATCGGATCAGCGCGGTGTGCCGGCTGCAGCGCGCCAGCTGCGGTGGCCATTGGAGGGTGAACCAACGGCAAAGGAAGACCTTTCTCTCTGTCTCTCTCTCTCTCACTGTCCACTCTGCCTGTCAAAAAAAAAAAAAAAAAAAAAAAAAAAAAAACCACCACCACCACCAACAACAAAAAACTCCACTGTGAAGGCAGACTGGGTTCTCAGTTCTTTGCTGAGATGCCTGCCTGGCCGGTCTGGTGGATTCTCTTCATTAAACTCGGCTATCTCACTTACTGCTCCTCTTTGACTCACATCTGAAGTAGTTCTTTTCTGGTGTGAAGACAAGGACCTCTGATCTAGCCATCTCTGGTAACATGGCCATGTAGGGAAATGGACAGGCAGAACCTCCCAGAGGGTCAGGGCCTCAGAAGACAGCAGCCAGAGTGACTCCAAGATAGTGGAATCAGGAGGGGCCAACAGGCTAACTGTGGAAATCACTCCACCGCCAGGCAAGGCTCTTGTGCAACTCCCAGCACACAGGTTACTTGCTATGCTTCATGACCACCACATAGATTTCCACCTTCCCCATCCTGCAGGTGAGCCTGTGTTTCACTGATCCTGGTATGGTCTGTCCCAGTCTGTTGGCTTAAGATGACTTAAAGTTCCATTTACAGTTGGCTGAGGATGAGCTGTTAAATCTGGACCTATTGAAGAGAACTGTGCCTCAAGCAAGGATTCTCGGCTGTTGAACTACATGACGGGTCTCTGGGTTGTTTTCATTGAAGAGTCTGTCAGTCTGGTCTGTGGGTGGGAGGAAGGGGGCAGGTCGACAGTTGTGTGGCCAGAGGGGACGCTACTGTAGAAACCACGGCTGGTTTTCCCTGCCCTCCAAAGCAATAAACTTGTAGCCAGGCATGTGGCTGCCCAGCTGGATTACACACAGTAACTTCAAAGAGCTTGTCACAAATCTGAATTAAAAGGTAAGTTTACTTTGGTGCCAAAAAATTATGAAATCTGTACCTACAAGAGATCTTCAAAACATTCATGGAAAACAAGTATTATGAAAAACTCTGCATGGACTTCAAAAACTTTTTGCACCAAAATAAGCCCCATCCCTCCCCACCACTAAACTTTTTTTTTTTTTTTTTGACAGGCCGAGTGGACAATGAAAGAAAGAGAGAGAAAGAGAGAGAGAAAGGTCTTCCTTTTCCGTTGGTTCACCCCCCAGTGGCTGCTATGGCCGGCGCGCAGTGCTGATCCAAAGCCAGGAGTCAGGTGCTTCTCCTGGTCTCCCATGCGGGTGCAGGGCCCAAGGACTTGGGCCATCCTCTACTGCACTCCCGGGCCACAGCAGAGAGCTGGACTACCAACAAAATTTTAAAAGCACCCTCCTGTTTCCCAGTCCCCCTCATGACTGCATCATGAGCAAATGCCAAGCGAGCAGAAGTGACGGATGTCATTTTCAGATCTGGAACTTCAGACCTTCGTGTTCTCTTTCCCTCATGTGCCAGTTGCAGCCCATATGTGATGGCAGCCCTGCCTTGACCACACAGATGACAACAGCGTCCTACAAACGGCAGAGCAACTTGGAAGACCACAGCCAATCTAGACCAGTTATGCACTTCTCTACTGTGTAAACCACTTTGTTAGGTCTTCTTGTTACAATGGTCTTATCATAGCCTGTATGTCACTGCTGTCACAAATCTCCCTGTCCTCACACTTTGGACCTGGAAGGAAGTCAGGAAAAATGCCTGCCTGGGTGCATGTGCCCACATTTTGCACTAGGAGAAGCTGAGTCAGAGAAAAACCTTGAGGAGCTGCTGTATAATAAAAAAAATATACATTTACTCTTTGTCCTTGGTTCTTGGCACAGAGCTCCCAAAATATTGGATTCTCTGGAGTGACAGCTAGTTATTCATGACAAGCTCCTGCTGATTCCACCTGGGTCTGTACTAATTAGGTGACTAGGGAATCGGCCCTACTCAGCCTCAGATGGGGCTGGTTACCAGCCAGACCAAACACCCATGGATTAGAGGGCAGGGACTTGCACTTCCAGTCTTTGACCTCCAGGGAGGGGAAAGAGGGAAGAGGTTGGGTTATAAAACTCTTGACCAAAAGAGGTTCATGGAGCTCTAGGGTTGATGAGCATCTCAAAATGCTGGGGTGGGGGAGTGGCTTGCCCTGAGAGGGTATATACTCTCACCTTTCTGATTCATATTCTTTATTGTAAACCAGGAAAGGTGGGCAAGGTGTTCTTCTAAGTTCGGTGTCATTTTAGTGAATTATGCAGCCTGTGGAGGGCACCCGGGGAACCCCTAAATTTATGGTCAATCAGAAGTACGGGTGTTGCTGGGACTTGCCCCTGCTGCCTGAAATGGGGACTGAGTCCTTAAGGCTGTGGAATCTGCACTACCTCTGGCTAGTCAGCCTGCAAGTGGAGCTGAATTCCTGGACACTCCGTTGGTGTTGGAGAATCACTATGGAAACTCCTCACACATTTTGGTGCCACAAGTGATAGCGGAAGCTTTGTCTGACACAGGACATGGACTGATCAGGGTGGTCTACCAGACTCAACACAAGCACTCCTGCTCAGCCCCTGGACCTCCTACAGGGTCAGAAATGGCAGTGCCATCCTCAGACACCACTGAACTGCCCACATGGCCAGGAAGCTCCAGGAAGCTATGCAGATGACCTAAGCAGATGCTCACTTGGATTTCTTTCAGCCTTAGAACAATACATGCAAGTGACTACACATTCCACAGAAAGACAGCAGACCATCCTATAGAATTTGCTCCGTGGCATTCCCAAACAGTACTGGGCCCCTTGGCACAGCAGCCCACGTTCAGGATATGTAAGATGCAAATTGTCCCAGTACCTAGAGAGAGTTGCTGCAGATCTATGTATTTCCTGCCCCTTCTTTCTGTGAGAGGAAACTCTCCCTCCAGCCCCCTCTACCATTCCCCCTCTCACCCATCTGCAAGTCACACAGGAAGAATTTCACAGCTCCAAGACACTACTTTAAGTTTATATGCCTGAACCAGGCCTCAGCTGAGACAGCTTAAATGTAATGAGAAAGTGAAGTTTGGCTGGACTTTTATTAGGTGAAAACAAGACCGCCTGTTAATGTTTTTTAAGTGACCACAAAGCTGAGGGCATGCCTGAGTCATTACTTGTGGAAAAGGAGACACATTCAACATGGCATGTCTAAATGGCAACAGAGAAGGGAGCAGGGAGCTCCGCTGTTTATGCCTACCAAGGGCAGTGCCTTCCAGCTGGGAGGTGAGCAAGGTTTGGGTATGCCTGCCCGCCTGGCTCACAGCCACCAATCCCAAAGACCAGCTGCCATAGTGTGCATGTCAATAGCAACATCATGTAACAGCAACAGCAGCAAAGGAACATGGGCCAGACTTTTCCTGTTTCTCTCTTTTCAAGGCCAGAACAAACAGAACCAAACCCTGACACAGACTGAACACCAGACTTACAGTGAGAGGGGGAAGCCAGAGGAGGGGAGACAACCATTCCAGTGTCATAGGTGTTCCCAAAGTTTAATTGAAAGATTCAAAAAGATGCTATGTGCAGCTACTTTGTGGCCTTGAAACTGCCTAATTCTGAGCTGCTTTTATGTGAGTCATCAACTTACATTGTTTAACCTGTCTGATATCATATCTGTAATATGTTACCAGCTTCTTTAAATAAATAAGATAAAGATAAGCAAGACTGCAGAAAAAATGGGTAAAGGGGAGAAAGTATTTCACATAAGGAAGAAATACAATGATCAATAAGTTTATGAAAAGGCACTTAATAAAACCCCAAGAAACAGAAATTTTAAAAATTGAAACGTCATTTCTTACTTAACAGGTCAACACAAGCTTTAAATATGAATGATTCTGGCTGGAGAGTGGAGCAACAGCCACTCTCATTCAACAGAGATGGGAGTGTGACTTGGAAAGGTGTTTTTGGAGTGCAGTTTGGAAACAGATATAGAAAGTTAAAATGTATTTATACAAGAGTGTGTGCACTTGTGAATGCATCCCTGTGTATGTATGTGTGAAGGCATGGAAAAGGCATGAAATAGCATATAACAACTTGAGCACAATTTGTGTTAACTCAGGAAAGGAGGAACAGCAGATAAAAGGAGAGTGTCATGGCCTTTCATTTTTCACAGTGGGGCTTGACATTTGTCAGATCACACATTATTTTTATCATTAAAAATTTTAAATAAAGATGAGTTATTTGAGCTTTTAAAATTTTAAACACACACACAAGGTATCCTAATTGATGTATTTCCCTTCAAATCAAATGTAGTGCGTGTTGTGCATGCAGAGTCTACTTAGACTTGAGTAAAATTTGGCAGCCACGAGTTCCCCAGTTGGTAAGAGTGTGTGCTTGGTGGTGTTTTACATCTCTAGACAGTGCTGAATACAGCTTGCTCTCAGTAATTAAAGATTTTTAAAATTTTAGGAAAAGTTATTTGAAATACAGATTAAACAGGTTTGCATTTTTAAAATGAAAATAGTGAATTCTGTTATTGGTTTTTATCTTTCCTCTTGGCAGAGACTGTCTTCAATTTTTAAGCACTTGCCAAGGAAATGACCTTCTGCCAACCCATACTGACGAATTTGCTGTGCTCAGATCAGAATTCATTAAAAAACAAACAACAACAACAACAAAAAAAACAGCAAGTCTTCCAGGAAATCTTTTTTTTTATCTCAAAATTTAAAGCAAAAAGCAGGCCATTTAAAATAAAAGGAGACAATCTTACTTGGTCCTCAAAAGACAGCGCCTGGGCAACATCTCTTGGGAATCCATCAATGACAATGCCTTCTTCATCAGGTATCTGCATCAGTTTCTGTTTTATCTCTGTAATTGTTGTTTCCTTTTATAAAGAGAAAGGGTGAAAAGCCACAGTGAAACTTCAACGCTCACAATCAGCATACAAATTACTGCGGACTTGAAGCAGATTATACAGCAGTACCTGAGGTGCCAGTTCTCCATTTGTAATGATCTTGGCAATCAGACTCCACTTCCTGTTGCTGCTGGTACTGTGGATTTTCTTTCTTAGCAATTCTCCCACTGAAATGTATTGGAATCCATAACGTTCTGCAATTTTCAAACTCTGAGTACCTTTTCCACTTCCAGGACCACCTGTTATTTAAAACAGGAAAACTGTGACCTTCCAATACATGAAGGGACGCCCCTTGAAATCCCTGCTCTGGATCACTCACAGCAGGCAGGTACTGTTTCAGGGATAACATTCTCAGTGCCCTCTGAATGCAGAGCAAGCAGATGCCCTCCAGGGAAAGGAAAGGGTAGGACTGTCTTGACCAACCCTGTCAGATCAGAGACATTTCCCCCTCTACCTGTTATAATAGGTAACTTTTTAATTAAAAAAGCTTTTTTTTTTTTTTTGAACAATGCAGTTGAAAGACATCCCATCTTTCTGTGTAAAAATCTAGTTATTTCTCCTTTGGAATCAAAGAAAAATCTATGGGATACCAAAGACAATGATCAAAATAACAGAAATGTGGTCCATGCCCACAGACAAAAGAGTTAATGTGCAATTTGGTGAAATGGAACAACGATTTTTAAACCAAAGGCCCATCAATATTGGCAGAGCTTATTCAAATCTTTTTCTGAAATTTGTTTGCTCATGTGTGTTCTTGCCTTTTTGCCTTCAGATTCAAAATTTTATATAAAAAACACAGTGAGTGGAATTGATACTTAAGGAAGAAAGGTTTCATAGAACTAATAACTTTGATTTTGTGATGTGTTTGTATGAAATGACTTTTTGCAACGTTTACTCAATACTAATCATCAGTAATTACCATTTGTTTTTGAAAACGAAGTCAAAATAATTACAACCCAGATTTTATTTCTAAACATGTTAGATTAATTTTTAGTCAAAATAAATTTCTGAGCAACTTAGACTAATTAGAATATAGATTTGGAATAAATTTTCAAACAAAATGCATAACCATCAATCCAGTCTATAGTTATTTAATGGTAATTATAAAAATGAAATATTTTCAAGGACTTAAGCATAAACTATTCAGCATAGGCAATGTCTTTTTTTTTTAAGTTTTATCTACTTATTTGAAAGGTAGAGTTACAGAGAGGCAGAGGCAGATGCAGGCCAGAGAAGGAGGCTTCCATCAGCTGGTTTACTCCCCCACCCCCCCAACTGGCTGCAACTGGAGCTGTGCCAATCTAAAGCCAGGAGCCAGGAGCCTCCTCTGGGTCTCCCACATGTGTGCAGGAGCCTAAGCACTTGGGCCATCTTCTACTGCTTTTCCAGGCCATAGCAGAGCTGGACTTGAAGTAGAGCAGCCGGGTCTCGAACTGGCGCCCATATGGGATGACAGCACTTCAAATGGCAGCTTTACTTGCTACGCCACAGTGCTGGCCCCAGAAATGTATTTTTAAAAGTTGATGCTTGGGGTCTGTGTTGTGGTACAGCAAGTTAAGCTGCAACCTGCAACACTGGCATTCCATATTGGAGTGCCAGTTCAATTCTAAGCCGCTATGCTTCCATTCTATTCCCTGAGAATGAGCCTGGAAAAGCAGCGGAGTATGGCCCCCAAATACTTGTGGAAGACCCAAATGGAGTTTCAGGATCCTGGCTTTGTCCTGGCCCAGCACTGACTGATGCTACCATTTGGGGAATAAACCAGCAAATGGAAGATCTCTCTCTCTCTCTCTCTGTCTCTCTCATCTCTCTATCACTCTGCCTTTCAAATAGATAAATACATTTTCTTAAAAGAAAAAGTCAATGCTTAGTAAGTTATGAAATGTTTTGGTAATATTCATTGAAACATAATTATGATTTAATAGACAATACTGAAAATAAAAACTGACAGAAAAATGAGTTGATGTTTTCTCTACTACAAGTCTTTTGTGTGTTGAAGTCATTTTATATCTAATTATTCAATAACATTTTATTCTTTCAGATAAAAATAAAAGAAAAAGCTTTTTTTTTGTAAGAAATAGTTCCAAGTGGGCAGATTCAGTCAGTGGAATTCTAAGATCAACTGATACAAAGAAAACCATTTCTTAGTTCCAATCCCAAATAATGCACCTAATAACTCCAGCTTTCACCTTTATATTGCTTTATCAAAGTTAGCTCAGGAATTTGTTTACATTTTTTACCATTCTCAGATTTCTAAGAGACTCTAACTCTACCCTATCAGACTTAACAATATGAACTACTTCTATAAATCAACATCTTTAAAATTTAAAATAATTTCTTTATTTATTTGAAAGGCAGAGTAATGGGTTGTGGTGGGAGGAGACAGAGAGGAAGAGAGAGATGGAGAGAGAGAGAGAGAGAGAGAGATCTTCAACTGCTAGTTCACTCCCCAAATGGCCACAACAGCCAGGTTTGGGCCAGACCAAAGCTATGAACCAGAAACTAGACCCTGGTCTCCCAGATGGATGGTATCTGGGCCACAGAATTTAGACCATCATCTGCTACCTTCACAGGCATATTAACGGGAAGCTTTTAAAAACACTGTAGTAACAAAAGGGATATTTTGTTTATTTAGAAGTAATATCATTGGGCATCTATACCTCTCCCATACCTTTTCCAGGTTGGAACTAATAAAAATTTGTAAGATTCCGAGACAATTATTTTATAATTCTTCAGAAGTCATAAAATTGTCCCCATCTCCCAGGAAAACTAATGGTTTGCCTTTTCCTTTCTTCCTTTACCTCAACTCTCTAAAAATTATATAACCTCATTGGTTCTCAATCATTCTTTTACAACATAAAATGCTACAGTTCAGCACGTAAGTCTATGATGAGAATCATATTCTTAAAGCAAGTTGATTTCACTGAGTATAAAAGAGCTTGGGGGGCCAGGAATTTGGCCCAGGGTTTGAGATGCTACTTGGGACACTGGCCTCCCATATCAGAGTGCCTGAGTTCAGGTCCCAGTTCCACTCCTAATTTCAGTTTCCTGTTAATGGGCACCCTGGGAGGCAGCAGATGACAGTTCAAGTCCCTCTCACCAGCATAGGAGATCTGAATTGAATCCAGGCTCCTGGCTTCAGCCTGGCCCACCACTGGCTGTTGTGGGCATCCTGGATGTGAGCCAGCAGATGGAGCTTTCTGAGTAGCCATCTATCTGTCTTTCTATCTCTATCTCTGCCTTTCAAACAAATAAAAAGGAATAATAATTTTTGTTTAATTAAAAGAGCTTGACCTAGAGGAGATGTAAGCATTTGTATCTCCTTCTAAGATATTAACGTATTGAAATGTTTGAATCATTCTCATACAAGACTCACAATGCAGAAAAAAAGGCCTAAATGTTTTACATAAGAGCAATTTGGTATTACATGATCTTCATGCACAATCAGTCTTCAGTTTATTCTTCCTGTTAACAATCACCAATATTTCACTAATAGTAACAGGAAAAACAAAACTGATCTACACATAAACCATAAAATGATAAAAAAATTCTCAATTATTCTTCACCTAGAGCTCCATCTGTTAATAAAGTATTTCCTTGTTGTCTAGGCAAACATTCCCAATTTTTAATTCCCTAATTTTTAATTAAAAACAAAAACGCCTTTCCATTTTCAAGAACAGAGATTTATGGCATCATAAAAAAACCAGAGCCCTAAGAATATTCTGACTTCTTGAAAGCTGATTTCTAAACTCTCTTTCTGTAATAATTTCAATACTTTAGGGCTAACTACATTTCTAATGTCATTTTCACTTCACTGAAATGTACCAACATCACCTCTTCTAGGCTGGTGAGATGCAATTCTGGTGACAGTGCTGTGTGTCTCTTTGCATGCTTTTTCCCAGCTGCCATCATGGTCCTGTCCCCCAGGCCACAGCTTCCCTGCATGAGGATTCTGTACAGGACTCAGTCAGCCACTACTGGACAGCACAGCTTTGGACACCTCATGCCAGGCTTTTGCCTGCGGGCATGCTGTGAAAACTGACTACATCTTGCTTCATGACTGTGGTCTCTTTGTAAGTTTTACAAATTTTGGGAAAGAACTTGCCAGCATGTCAAAAATGCAATTTTGCTGAACTATTTAAGACATTTTCAGTATCTATTCCTTAGGAGATGGCATTGGGCTGAAATTTTCATATTCAACAAGATTCACAGTGCCAATTTTAGGAATGAACGATTAGTGTTATTTTGGTTAATACTCAGATATTATGTGCTCTATCACACACTATTCTATTAGATTTGTTTGTCTAGTATCATTAAAACTTAGATTTGAATGTTAGTGCCAGTTCTCTATAAGGAAGATTTATTTATATGAATCTTTATTGATATATTATTATTTATTTTTTCTTCTAAAGTTAATAGTGAATAAAATTCAATTTGTTGAGTTAAAGGGGAAAAATTCAGAAAACATTTAATGGACTCACTATGGTAAAGGTATTTTTGTTAAAGTTATGCTATAGGTTATTAAGTAAATAAAACCATAAGACAATAACTGTTGAAGAAATCACTTTGAATTCATGATTAATAATTTCTGTGACATTTTAGTGGGTGTCTATAAAAATCTAAAAGGCACCCACTTTAATAATTTTAAAAAAATTGCTTTATTGAAGACTATCCTAAAATTGTTTCCATTTTCTATTCCTTGTGATTTTGTTTCTGTTGTCTGTCATGATCCAAACAAGCACTGGCAAATATAATACATCACAGACATCATTTTTGAACTGTAAATAGGATGGGAATTTTGCTTCTGTCATCATACCTATGACAAGAATAATTTTTGGTCGAGGTCTAGTAGGATCGAAAACCTCATACTCCTCAATCAACTCTGCAGTCTCAGACAGATCCGTGTCACTTTCTATGGAGAATTGATGAATTGGAGGAAGCCGGTCATAACGCCGATATGGAAAGTTTGAATTTTCAGGCATTACTGCAAAAGAATAAGATAACTTTGAAAAGGAAAAAGAGCACAAAAACCACATTTCATACTTAAGCAATTACTATAAGAAATTTAAGCATTAAATGAATTATTCATTTATTTATTTTTGTCAGTCGGCAGAAGCCCTCTACACAAACTTCGTTAGAGGGCCAGAGAGTCAATATTCGGGCTTTGAGAGCCAAGCAGTCTCATGCTCAGCTCAGCAAGGAAGCAAGAAAGCCATTTTAGACACTGGGAAAACAAAGGGATGTGCCTTTGTTCCAAGAAAATGCCTGTAAAAACAGTGACATGAGCTTGGCCCATGTGCCATAGTTTTGTCATCCTAGGTTCCAGACCACCCTTCTCAGATATGCTCCCATCTTACTGGGTAGGCTGCCGCGCCTTGGCAAAGGGTACTTGAATAGTACCAAACTTTCACAACTATATGTAGCTGTTCATGAACTCCCATATGGATGCCAGTTCAAGTCCCAGCTGCTCCACTTCTGATCCTGCTTCCTGCTAATGTGCCTGGGAAAAGCAGCAAAAATGGTCCAAGTGCTTAGGACCCTGCTACTGATGTTTGAGGCCTGGAAGAAGCCCCTGGTTCCTGGCTTCAGCCTGACCCAGCCCTAGCCATTGCAGCCATCTGGGAGAAAAAACAGCAGATGGAAGGTCCCCCCCCCCCCATAACTCAGACCTTCAGATAAATAAATAAATGTATAAAGAAAAATAGGGCCGGCGCCGCGGCTCACTAGGCTAATCCTCCGCCTTGTGGCGCCGGCACACCAGGTTCTAGTCCCGGTCAGGCCGCCGGATTCTGTCCCGCTTGCCCCTCTTCCAGGCCAGCTCTCTGCTGTGGTCAGGGAGTGCAGTGGAGGATGGCCCAAGTGCTTGGACCCTGCACCCCATGGGAGACCAGGAGAAGCACCTGGCTCCTGCTATCGGATCAGCGCGCTGCGCTGGCCGCAGGGCGCCGGCTGCGGCGGCCATTGGAGGGTGAACCAATGGCAAAGCAAGACCTTTCTCTCTGTCTCTCTCTCTCACTGTCCACTCTGCCTGTCAAATATATATATATATATATATATATATATATATATATATAAATTTTGGGGCAGGCATGTGGTATATAAGCTAAATCACTACTTGGGACAGCTGCATCACATATCACAGTGCCTGTTTCAAGGCTGGGCTACTGTGCTTTGAATTCCAGCTTCCTGCTAACATGCACCCTGAGAGGCAGCAGTGGTGTCTCAAGTACTTGTGTCCTTGCCACCCATGTGAGAGACCAAGGATCAAGTTTCTGGCTCCTGGCTGTTGTGAGCATTTAGGGAGTGGACCAGCAGATGGAAAATTTCTGTCTCTGCCTTTCAAATAAAATTAAGTATTTTTAATTTTTACAATTTTTTAAAAATAAAAATATAAATATGAAGGTTTAAATGTATGTCTATACTGGCAACAAATACTTGCCATAATATCAGACATATTAGGACTTGCAAAAGCAGCAAGACTAGAACTTTGAAAGAGAAGAAATGTTGAAAAGAATGTCCCAGTTGATGGAAACAACACAAAGACTCAGAGTCAGAAATATAAATGACACATTCAAATAGACCACACACAGCACTGGCAAGCCCAAATCAGGCAGATGGTCTTTTTTTTTTTTTTAAGATTTATTTATTTATTTATTTGAAAGGCAGAGTTACACAGAGAGAGGAGAGGCAGAAAGAGAGAGGTCTTCCATCCAATGGTTCACTCCCCAGATGGCCAAAACAGCCAGAGCTGCGCTGATCTGAAGCCAGGAGCCAGGAGCTTCTTCCAGGTTTCCCACATGGGTGCAGGGGCCCAAGTACTTGGGCCATCTCCCATTGCTTTCCCAGGCCACAGCAGAGAGATGGACTGGAAGTGGAGCAGCCGGGTCTTGAACTAGCACCCATATGGGATGCTGATGCTGCAGGCCGGGGCTTTAACCCACTGCGCCACAGCACCGGCCCCCAGATGGGATGCCAGTGCTTCAGGCCAGGGCATTAACCCACTGCACCACAGCCCCGGCCCCATGGCAGATGGTCTTAACCAACTTCATGACTTCCTCCCTTCTTACTTTGTCAATCAGTATTTCAGAAGGCATAGAGAAACCTTAACTACTTCCAAAGGCCCTTGCACAGAGACACGAGCCCACTTGTTCTTCCATAAGGAATTTTGCTAAGGAAACTACTATATCTTAGATGGCATAATACTCACATTTCCTCTCAAAGTGTTGATTACCTAGAAACTTTCACACTCTATTGACAAAACAAATGAGGCCATTGGCCATTGATTCATTTAGTTTCACAAAAAGAGTAGGATAGTCCACAGATGACAGGTTAGAAAATGCTTGGGGGAGGGGGATAATGTGGCGTAGCGGGTAAAGCTGCTGCCTGCAGTGCCAGCATCCCATGTGGGAGCCGGTTCAAGTCCTGGCTGCTCCACTTCCAATCCAGTTCTCTGTTATGGCCTGGGAAAGCAGCAGAGGATAGCCCAAGTCCTTAGGTCCCTGCACCCACATGGGAGACCTGGAAGAGGCTCCTGGTTCCTGGCTTTGGATTGGCCCAGCTCTGGCCATTGCAGCCATTTGGAGAGTGAACCAGTGGATGGAAGACCTCTCTCTCTCTCTCTCTCTCTCTCTCTCTGCCTCAGTCTTTGGGCAGAATGCATGGGAAGAGTGAAGATCTCTTTAGGACTGGAATGGTTCTAAGGGTCAAATCAAAATCTCAGAAGCAAATTCAATTTATCAAATACACGAAGACCCGGCCTTAGTCTTAGCTCTTACCACAGAATTTAACAACACAGCTTATTTTGTAATGAGTGATGCCTTATCATCTATTTACAGAAGATAGATGGGAGTAAGAGACCTTGCACAGCAACAAAATCAAGTTCTCCCCAGGACTCAGTGGACAAATCATATTATCTTATGGTTGCACCAAATGTTTTCTAATTATCTATGTTTTCTAGTCTGTTACAACATTTGAAAATTTCTGAAATGGGGTATCTCAGCTGCATCTCAGAAGCCCTGGAAGATTTGGTTGGTGGTCATATCTTCTTTTGGCGAAACATCTGAGTATTCAATCCTAGTCACCCCTTACTGAATCCTGCACGGACCGAGGACTCTTCCTTCTGGGAGGTGCTTCTGAGGAAATGCTATTTCTGCCTTTCCTCTTCTGCTTGTGTTTTTTTCTTTTTTAAATTAAGATTTATTTACTTATTTATTTGAAAAGCAGAGCCACAGAGAGAGGGAAACACACATTACAGAGAGAAAGAGAAAGAGAGAGAGAGAGAGAGAGAGATCTTCCATTTGCTCATTTACTTCCCAAAGGGCCACTACAGCTGGGGGGGGGGTGGCCGAAACTGGGAGCCTAGAACAACTCTATGTTTGTCTCACACGTGGGTGGCATGGGCCCAGGGACTTGAACCCTCTTCTGTTGCTTTCCCAGGCACACTAGCAGGGAGCTGGATCAGAAGTGGAACAGCCAGGACTCTAACCGGCTCTCTGATATGGAAAGCTGGTATTGCAGGTGGTGGTTTAACCCACTGGATCACGACGCCAGCTCTGTTTGTGTTTCTTTTTTTTTTTTTTAAGATTTATTTTATTTATTTGAAAGCCAGAGTTACACAGAGAGAGGAGAGGCAGAGAGAGAGAGAGAGAGAGAGGTCTTCCCAGCCACTGGTTCACTCCCCAGATGGCCGCAATGGCTGGAGCTGTGCCAATCCAAAGCCAGGAGCCAGGAGCTTCTTCCAGGTCTCCCATATGGGTGCAGGGGCCCAAGTCCTTGGGCCATCTTCTACTGCTATCCCAGGCCAGAGAGCTGGACTGGAAGAGGAGCAGCTGGGACTAGAACCGGTGCCCATATAGGATGCCGGCACTTTAGGCCAGGGCTTTAACCCACTGTGCCACAGCGCAGGCCCCTTTGCTTATGTTTCTTAAAAATTACATTATGATTCTTTCCTCACACTGCATGTAAACAGTGACAAACTGAGCTTTGTTTCCTCCTTATATTTATTACGAATAGAGTTATCTCCACCTTAAATTGTCAGTATAGCTGAAACATTTTGTGCCACAACTTTTGAGAATGGTTGAAGTTTTGATAATATAATGATCTTGCCCACTAGAAAATAATTCAGTTTCTCCTGATTGGGAGTGATTCCTTTTTTGCACATACAACTGTTATTCTTCCCAATCTCAACTGGGGCTGAAAGGCTGACTCATGGTGAATCTTTAATTTTGAGAAGCATATTTTTTTTCAGAGAGAGAGACAGAAATCAAAATACCATGATTCTAGCCGGCGCCGCAGCTCACTAGGCTAATCCTCCGCCTTGCGGCGCCGGCACATTGGGTTCTAGTCCCGGTCGGGACGCCAGATTCTGTCCCGGTTGCCCCTCTTCCAGGCCAGCTCTCTGCTGTGGCCCGGGAGTGCAGTGGAGGATGGCCCAAGTGCTTGGGTCCTGCACCCCATGGGAGACCAGGAGAAGCACCTGGCTCCTGCCATTGGATCAGCGCGGTGCGCCGGCCGCAGCGCGCCAGCCGCGGCAGCCATTGGAGGGTGAACCAACAGCAAAAAGGAAGACCTTACTCTCTGTCTCTCTCTCTCACTGTCCACTCTGCCTGTCAAAAAAAACAAACAAACAAAACAAACAAACAACAAAAAAAAACACCATGATTATTTTCTAAGAAACTCCAGTTCTTAGTTCCAAACTAGTTCTAAAATTTAAACAAATTAACTTCTACTTCTTTTACAGCACCCAAATGCCCAATATAAAATACCATATTCAGTAGCTGCTTAATACATCCTTATTGAATTAACTGGCATAAACTTTACTGGTGCATTGATGCAGATGTGTTAATATTAACTCTGCATTTGAAAACACATTAATAAGCCAAATCTCTTTCCAGCTAATGAAAAGTGTGGAACTGCTATGTAATAACTACCAATTTTCTCCGTATCCTACTTATTAAGTTTGAAAAATTTATTTACAATTTAAAAAATACAGGGTTTGTTAATGCAATTCATTTTGCAAAATAATGGAGTTAGCAATATAAAATTTCATTAAGACTTCAGTCAACTGCTGGACAATGGTATGTCATTTTGTTTGTCAGGGAGGTGATTAGAATTAGCTGCAAAGAGAGATTAATTGTGTTCCAGCCACTTATATTCTCCTGGGCATTTGTAAATCCAATAAATGAAATCACTGCCTATGGTCTACGTGCACTTTTTAAAGAGAAATGCTGTACTTTGAAAAAGGTCTATTATTCTACATATACATTACCATTTCGTAGAAAGGATCTCCGGGACTGTCCTCCATTTAGCGGAGGTAAGGTCTTCTTTTCCTGGCTGACAAATGTATCCCATTTCACCTTGTCACAGCCACCCAGTTCCTTTACTTTCTGTAAACAACTTTCCAAGTACTCGACTGGGTCTTCTGGCTTGGAACACATCAGTCCATTCAAAAGGCTCTGAAATACAATAAAGTATGTTTTTAAACCACCTTTGCTACAATATAAGTCCCATCTTTGAATTCTAGGTTGTTTTTGTCCTTTGCATTTGTGTTTTCACAAGCAATTAAAGTTGGAATTATGATGTGATAGAAAATTAAGATAAGCTCTTAAAATTCTTTACCAGTTTTTCACTCAGAATTCTGTTTATTAAACAATTCAGGCAACTATGTAATATAAGATAGAAGAGCCCTATCTGTGAGATAAAGTATAGTGTGTGAAAATGCCCCTA